TTTAATGACTTCCAGATGTCGCTGGCCTGGGAAACTAAGAGGCACGATTTCGGCCAGTTTTCGGCGCTGTGACTAATGTTTACCTCTGACAACATTCATCCACCCCCACCTCCTTCAATTGCAAATATCTCAACTTCTATTTAAGATTGATGGATTTTTTTTTTCCACTTGAAGCAAAATAAATGCCAAAATCTTTAGGCTGATTCCAATAGCTCGATATGCCCTAAATATTGACGAGCGCCTATTTCTACGGTGTTGAGACACACATATTATGTAGTTAAACTTAAACTGAATATGGAAACTTTAGGAAATGAAAATCTTCCTGGAGTCTAAATAGTGATTGCTGAAATTCTTCAGTTTATGTATGAATTTGAAAATAAAATGCATAAGAAAAAAGGAGTAGCCATTTCCTTTTTATGATTTGTTCCTAAAATAACGTTTCACTTCTCATTTCACTTTGTCTGTGTTTGGTAAACGTTTTACAGCGCTCACAACTGCATAAGGTCACATGATCGTACCAACATTGTCCAAACTACCCAGAAAAAAGACAGGGACACTCAATAACAATTTCACCATCACAATCATATGTGAAACTTGCTGACAAAATGAGTAACTTCTCGAAGTCCACAAATGGAGATATTGGCCAAAAATTGACACCAGGGTCGAATTTGTAGATTTTCTATTGATGCCATATTCTTTAAGTATAACATACCTTTTACGCCATACTTATAAGTTGTAAAACCTTCACCTATAAGTGTGATGTATCTATTTCCTATATATTGTAAAACCTTCACCTATAAGTGTGATGTATCTATTTCCTATATATTGTAAAACCTTCACCTATAAGTGTGATGTATCAATTTCCTATATATTGTAAAACCTTCACCTATAAGTGTGATGTATCTATTTCCTATATATTGTAAAACCTTCACCTATAAGTGTGATGTATCTATTTCCTATATATTGTAAAAACTTCACCTATAAGTGTGATGTATCTATTTCCTATATATTGTAAAAACTTCACCTATAAGTGTGATGTATCTATTCCCTTAATTAAGGCCTGAATCCGAGAAGTAACTCATTTTGTCAGCTCGCTTCACATAATATGATGGTGAAATATATGATAACATATTGGACTGAATGTGTGAAGCGAGCATAAAGCGCTTGATGCATGTTATACAAAATATATGCCTTTTTTGTCAACCTGCGTCATTGTCTGAAAGGTTTTTTACAAAGACATTCGTCCATATTCATCTCAGTGTAACAGATATTTGCTACGCCACTTTTTAGTCCCTAGCCATTTTGCTGTGACAAATCAAATTAACTTAGGCAATCCAGATTCTGGAATTTAATTTTGCTATGATACCACTATGACTCGGATTATCCTGGTTCAAATCCCAGAACTGTTTAGTGTAGGGGGGTTTTCAAGGCTCTCCACCTATTTTGCTCAATGACTTCGTAGTGTTGAAAACCACATAATTATCAGAGGCCTATTGCGTGTAGTTGAATCAGTTGTTACAGATCTAGCGAGTTATAACCTTCTGCTGTTGACCATTTAAGTTGTCTGTGAATAGAGAGGTCCTAGATTACCCCCCCCCCCCCCCTTTTAAGGAAAACTTAACAAATGAATGAACGAATAAACGAATGAACGAATGAATGAATGAATAAATAAATGAATAAATAAATGAATAAATAAATGAATAAATGAATATATAAATGAATAAGTAAACAAATAAATAAATTATGAAAAAAATACATGAATTATAAATGAAGATTGAAAAAGCACCCCTCCCCCCCACCCAAGGCGATACTTTTTAGCATTTCCTCTGTGTGGTTTACTTCAGAATGGAACACGCGCCTACGGGTCGCTACTTGGAGTGCCGCACCACGGAACCGGGCGTGTCTTTCTACACGTCAGGATACATGCCCCAGATAGCTGGCAAGGCGGGGGCTCAGTACAAGCAGTTCTGTGCCTTTTCTCTTGAAGCTCAGCATTTCCCAGACAGTATTCACCATGTAAGTTCGCTACCTTA